AAAAAAAAAAAAAAAAAAAAGAAAAGAAAAAGACAAAAAAAATTAAACTTTTATCTTCTACCTTGTGAAATGCGAGGTTGAACGAAAGTTCGAAATCTAATTTTAAAGTTGTGCAATGCAATCATCCTTGGTATAAAAAAATTAAACTTTTGCTTTACGATGTAAAATTCGTCGAAACGAGTCAACAGCCGCCGATTCAAAGTTTGCAAAATCTAATCTTTTAACTCGTGCGATGATGATCGTCCTTTGCAAAGGGAGAGAAAAAAAAAAAAAAAAAAAGAAAAGAAATTAAAACTTTTATCTTTTTCTTCGCAACGTCGAATCAACCAATAACTTTTCCAAAAACTTTTCGAAACTTTTTCCGAAAGGATTCGCTAATCAGATCGAGGACGAGTAATTTTTTTAAATCACCTTTATCCGTTGCACCTCGAACTTAATGTTTCTATGCTTGATCCTCCCGTCGAATCTGGTGTCTCTGTAAATGTAATTCACCGCGGTGACGTGATGCGCGATCAGAGACAGTATCTCCTCCCTGGTCTTCTCCGCGTCGTGATGTAACTGAAAGTGAAAAAATCAGTGAAATGAGACATCGATCTTTCTTAAAGGAAAAATTTTTAAAGGAAAGAACGAGCCTTTGATCGAAAAAAAGAATTCAAAGATGGAGATAAATTCTTCAAACGGGGAAAGGAATGTGGAGGGAATAGTCTAACCTCTAAAAAGAAAATGAAATGAAATTACGCTATCTTCTATTACCGACGAATATAACCGTTTGAACGTGAGCACGGCGAGAGAATCATTCGACCGTGCAACGAATTACTAGGGAATTTCGCGCTAAAGAAAAGAAGTAGTAGTAAATGTTCTGGTAGCCTTTCTTCGCTTGGACGAATCAACAACTCGAGATACGATTTTCGGTATGTTCTTGGTGAATTTCTTACGCAGTTAATTTAAAATGATTTCACACGCAAATTAACGTATATTTTATATATTCTTTACGTATAAAGAAAGAAAATTTGTTGAATATTAAACTCTGTAGATTTGTTGTATATATATATAGTATATATATATAGTATATATATAAATATAAACTCGTTGATTTGTTGATGTATGCTCGATTTGTCAGGATAAATATCTTTCATCTTTACTTTTTATTTCATTGAGAGCAAACTTTATAATCCTTCTTGAGTGCTATTAACGCAACGCGCTTTCACATTCGCCGTCCATTATTCTTATTCTTCGCCTTTTTTATACCTCTTGCTTCATTCTCTATCTTTATCGCTTTTCTCTATTCTTCAATTTCTTCACGAATAGAAGTAATTTCGTCAAATTCAATAACGAGAAATCAAACTCATCTTCACGTCGAATTCTATGCTTACGAAAACTCAAAAACTTTGAAAGTAATATTCCTATTGCTATTTGACCACGATCTAATTCGAGATAAGAAAATCTACCTATTTGACATTAATATCATTCTACGCTTCGTTTATGAAGCGTAATACTCTAAAAAAATCGATAATCGTAAATAAATATTATCGCCGTTCGAATCCAAAGTAATGGCTCTGAAGATTATTCGAGTGCAAACAAAGAAAGAAAATACATCGTTTTTATATTACATTTTATAAATCATCAAGATCCATCCTCGATGCATCATGGATTAGTCCAATTTTTTTTTTTTCTTATGAAAATTGATTGTGAAACGAAACTCGAGCTATCCGATGAAATAACTAAAGAAATTTTTTGCGCATAAAATTTTGATATCTACCTGTTCCGATATGTGTCTCCATATTAGGGGATCGGTTTGAATGAAAAGGGAACAAGTGTTATTCTTCTTATCCTCCTTCGGCCTGGTCGCCCTCCGCGTCCTTCTGTGGCTAGGCTCGTTAGCTTCTCTCGAATACTTGTGACCGGGCGACTCCTGATCACCGTTCCACGGTTTCACCATCGGCGGCGGATCGGATTTCTTCTCGGTCACCGGACGTTCCTCGTCCGGTTCCGCGGAATTTTGTATCCTGTCCATCCACTCCACCACGTCATCGGTGATACCGCAACCTCCCGTTTCACCTTTAAAAAAAAAAAAAAAGAAAAAAACAATAATTACCCAATTATATCGCTACGTCATATCGCGCGTGGGAGAAGAAACTAAATAAATTTCTTTCCTGATACCCGCAATCTCCCGGTTCAATTTAAAAAAAAACAAAAAAAAAAAAAATTACAAATTTATTCCCCAACGACATCCCGCGGGGGGAAAAAAAAAAAAAAAGAAAAAAACAATAATTAACCAATTATATCGCTACGTCATATCGCGCGTGGAAGAAGAAACTAATTAAATTTCTTTCCTGATACCTGCAATCTCCCGTTTCAATTTAAAAAAAAAAAAAAGAAAAAAAATAATAATTAACCAATATCACTACGTTATATCGTTCGTGGAAGAAGAAACTAGTCAAATTTCCTTTCCGATACCATAATCTCGCGTTTCATCTTTAAAAAAAAAAAGAAAAAGAAAAAAAATAATAACCAATATCGCGCGTGAAAGAAGAAACTAATGAAATTCTCTTCGACCTATCATCCCAGAGTTGGACCTCGATTGAGCGGTTGGAAAAAATTAAAAATCTCGAAAAAAGTTACTTCGAGTGATCGGGTTACTAAAATGCTCGAGGATTACATTTATAGGACTATACGATCCGTTTCTCGTATAATCTCGGCGGTTTCATATTACATTTAATTATTTCCAATTATCATTATTCACGTGAAGTAACTTTACGAAAGTAACTTCGACCCCTTAAATTTTCCCCATTTCAAATCCATTTCAAATTCGAATAGCGAATTGACTCAAAAAAAAAAAAAAAAAAAAAAAAAAAAACTGAGAACCTCTCTTTTTGAAGTATAAATTTTTTCAGGGTAAGGTAAAAATCCGAGCTTTAAAGAAAAAAAAAAAAAAAAAATAACGAAACATCGAGCATACGTTTACACTAGGCTCGCTCCGCTTGGCTCCTCGTCGTTCGCTGAAAGAGGAAGTATGATTTCACACTCGTACGTAGGCGGGTGACCACGTCCTCAAAATAATGGGATCGTCGTTACGGACGATACGACACCCAAGGGGAAGCGGTTAAGTTTGTCATTACGAGGCGCATTATGCCGGCGCATCCGCTTTTGCAGACACAGTTCTCTCTCTCTCTCTCTCTCTCTCTCTCTCTCTCTCTCTTCCTCTCCCTCCCTCTCTCTCTCTCTCCCCGCATTTCGAAATTACGCGAATAATTAAACTGCGCATCGCCACTTCCGCTGCGACGCGTTATAAACTTGCCCGGCTGGAAACGATCGTGCGTTCTCGAATAATAGGCTCGTCCTTTGATGTCGTCCCACGATAAAACTGCTGCTTTATATCGTTTATTATTATCGTCGATGACGAACAATTTTTCAGAATTTTTCAGAAAAATTTGGGAATATTTATTTATTATATTTAAATAGGGGACAAGATGGTAGGAAGTTGAAATTTGTAGAGTAAAAGATGCGAATTGTTATTCGGAGAATAATTGTTATTCGCGTTTTATCTTTCTCGACGATAAATTTAAACTTCTTGGTTAAAACTAATGAGTTTTAGGACGTGAGTGGAGTATTTTAAATTTTTTTTTTTTTGTATCGATTTGCAGTAGAAGAAATATACGAATGTTATTTACAAAAAAGAAAACTTCAAAATTTTCAAGAATCGGAATGTGTTCTTTCTGAAACTATCCAATTCCATGCGAAACATATATACATATATACATATATATATTTTTTAAATTTCATTAATAAACTTCGATATCTCCGAGCGATGTAATTTGGATCTCTGTGTATAAAAATTTTAAAACCAATATTTAAACGTTTAGAAACGAACGAATGATTTATAATCGGATCACGATTACACGGAAATATCTATAAAATGTTCGAGCGATTCAACGAAGAATCATAATATCCATAATTCTATCTTCCAAAAAACTTCCATTCGTAATCTCCCCTTTACAAACTGCACAGTATTCCATAATCCAAGTTATAGATTATAGCAATCCGTGTAACGAAATTAAAGTGTCCAAATAACCTTGCATTAATTTCAACGAGAGAGAGAGAGAAAGAGATAAGGGAACGTAGAGTAGCGATTTCGAATATTTACAACTATATGGATTAATAGCCCTTGGTACGACGATCGATAATTCCAAAATTCTCTTGTATCGCGTTTACTGCACAACAATTTAAGAACAAACCGATATTGTCAGACCAGGGATAATTGCAGCGGTCGATGCTGGTTTTATCGGCGGGTTAACCGTGAGCCACGAGGTTTAATGACTTGGCGTCTCGATGTGACGATATTGGCTAAACTTTATTGATACTACCTACAAATTTAATACGGATTACCGTTACACGAGGTAGGTGGTAAAGATGGGAACGTTTTTACCAACATTGGTGAAAATACTTGGCTAAGGATTGATCTTGTGGAGAATAATCTTTGAGCGATCGATGGAAAATAATAAGAATAATACGATTGTGATGCGTGGTAAAAACAATTACCGACTGTGTTAATAGGAGAGAATAAATGGAGAAAAGGTCGCGGTTATCGATCGATGGAAATTGAAGATTTTAAGTAAGAATGATCTCTTTGTTCTTCGATTGTAATTGTATCGATATTGGATTGAATTGAATCGCAGGTTTCAGAATACCGTTCACGGTATCTCTAAATATGAGGTTACAATACCTGATGTGTAATGTTAGTATATACTGTTTTATGACGAAGGTGATTCGCGCAATATTCATTATCCAACTGGATACTATTCCACAATAATAGCTCGATACAATGGAATTGCGTGTGGTATGAAATATTAGCTCGTACCACGTGAAATTGCCGTTTTTGAAATTAAAAACAATATATTTTCGAAACTATAATCTTTATTCGATCAAAATATGAGCCATTAGTTTTAATGGCGTTTTCTCAACGAGATTTCCAATTGACGTATTCCATTTTTACAAAACTTCATGATTTTAACGCGAATAAATTCTTCGAATGCTGTGATTACAATTTCTCATCGAATATCGAATATTTCATTTTTTTTAAAAACGAAACCCATTGCATCCAAATATCATTGAAGTGGACGTTGTTCGTTGGATTAGCTTCTATTTCGGCTTCCAATTTATTTTCGTTTAATATAGATTTCGATTTAGCTTGGAGCTCACTTTCAAGATTCTCATTTCCACATCTGAATTTTTTAAACTACCACCGAATCTTCTCACCGAAATCTAACTTAATATTTTAATATGCTTCAGCTGCGCTCATGGTCCAGCTTAAACAGGAATAATATTTTTAAATTCGTTCATTTCTCCAAAAACAATCAAACCAATACAAAAAAAGAACTTATTTTACGCAAAGAAAATATAAGAGGATAAAAATACGTTAAAACAAAATTTAAGTTAAGTAGAATTTAACGAGACAGAATTAATCGATCATTTATTCTAAAATTGGCAATTTCACATAGTACAACCACGTAA